TCCCGCCCCCTTGACCTGTCCGTCCTCCCTGGACTGACCTATCTCCTCCCTACCTCCCCACCTACACTCACCTTCACTGGCTCCATCCCTGCCTCTTTGACCGGTCTGTCTCCTCGCCACCTATCTTCTCCTTCATCCATCTTCTATCCGCCTCCCCCTCTCTCCCTATTTATTTCAGAACCCCGTTCCCCTCGCCCATTTCTGAAGAAGGGTCTAGGCCCAAAACTTCAGCTTTCCTGCTCCTCTGATGCTGCTTGGCCTGCTGTGTCCATCCAGCTCTACACCTTGTTATCTCAGATTCTCCAGCATCTGCAGTTCCTACTATCTCTGTTAGTTTTTTTTTTCCCAGTTTGGCTTATGTGATATTTCTCACAGTCCTTGCATGGTATTTTATAAATTACATTAGTTTTATTGGTTGTGAGTATGGGATCCTTTATGTTCATCAGTAGCTGTCACAGGCTGGTTGTTGGTTTTTGAGCTACCCTGATACGTAGGGGTCTGAGTAGTCTTGTGGTCATCTCTCATATGTCCCTAATGTATGGTAGGGTGACTAGTGTGTCTGGCCATGTTGTGTCTTCTTGATGTGGTCTGTTGCGGAGGTAACGGCGATTCTAACTTTGTGGGTATCCATTCCTTTTAAAATTTCCGTATAAGTGCTCCTGTTTAGTTTTTTGCAATTCTGGTTGCTGTAGTGTGTTCTGGCTTGTTTGAATAATGTCCTGATGCAGCTCTGTTTATGAGTATTGGGGTGGTTGCTGGTGTAGTTAAGTATCTGGTCCGTATGTGTGGTCTTTCTGTATACGCTGGTCTGGAGTTCCCCGTTGTTCTTACATTTTACCATTATGTCTAGGAGGGGTAGTCAGTTATTGTTCTCTTCTTCTTTTGTGTATTTGATTCCGGTGAGGATGTTATTTATGTGTCGGTGTGTTTCTTCTAGCCTTGTGCATTTGATAATCATGAAGGTGTCATCTACGTAGCGGACCCAGAGCTTGGGTTCTATACTGGGGCATGCTGTTCATTCTAACCTTTGCATTACCGCTTCTGCAAACAATCCCAATATGGGGATCCCATTCATGTTCCGTTGATTTGTTTGATTATACGGTCGTTGAAGGTGAAGTGGGTTGTGAGGCACAGATCCAGCAGTTTCAGGGTGCTGTAGATGTTGACACTGTTGGTGTCCGGGGTACCTTGTCTTCCTGATTCAGCCAGCAGCGTGGCAATTGTGTCTTTGGCTAGGTCGATGTTTATGGATGTAAATAGTGCTCTTACATCGAAGGACATCATTATCTCATCCCCTTCTATTCGGGTGTCCTTGACGATGTGGAGGAATTCTTAGGAGGAGTGGATTGAAAAAGCGAACCCTTTGACTCAGCCCTAGATTTAAACTGCCATTGGGAACGAAGAATTTCCTACCATGGAGATCACTATGACTTTGTGGGCAGTTTAACTGGGGTTCAGTTGTGAGTTTAGTTTTGTCACCGTGGACCAAAAAAATCGAGCCTGTTATTTTAAAAAGAAATATCAATGATCATGGCATATAATTGAATAGGACAGAGGATCAGTGAATCCTTGAGAAATTAAGATTCTCTTACAGAGCCGAAATAATGTTCTATTATTCCCTTTTGATATCCTTTATGTCCTACTTTATCTCCTACAGTGTATTTGATTGTATTCAGGCAGAAAGCAAAAAAAAATGAACTCACATTATTTGTTTTATCCATTTTTAAATGAACACAAAGGAAGGCTGTTTAACAGAGCAAACACTGCTATAAAAGGTTGCATTTATCAACAGAATGATTCTGACAACTTGCCACAGTAAAGAATTGAAGTATTCCCATGTGAAATTTATGACGCAAGACAAAACTCATGAGCTGGACTCTCCAACTCAGTCTTTACTGAGAAATAAGTGCCAATAACTACTCACTTGTTCTCTACAATGAGGGTTTCATTATATGGTGACAAGACAAGACAAATTTTATTTGATTAAATTTTAATACAGAATCTTTACATTTGTTTTGGAGAATCCATTTCTTGATGCCGTTTACAATTTGAACCTTTTATTTAGCTTTGGTACAAAGGAATACAGGATTTCCTACAATATCCTCATAAAACTTTGTTGACCTAAGACCAGGAGGGTGGTGGGGGTGGAGGTAGTGGGAACACAATATTTTAGGTGAGGCTGGGGATGAAATCCTGGAAAACATCTAAGTCTAACGAGCTGACTTCTACGGTTGATTGCAATGTATTGAGCTGCGTCAACACAAATTCCTCTTTAAAATTACACTTTAAATTTTTTCAGCTAATCAGAGGGATGCCAATGTGGGTTTTGCAATCTAACGCTGGATTCATTGGTATCCCAGGGATTTTGGTAGCAATTGCGAAGGATAAAGACATGGCCGAGAAGTAAGTCAATAACTAGTCAGTATTTACCAGCTACTTTTTAACTTGCTTGCATGAAAGGGATTGTTCACAATTCTTGGTGCTGAGAGGTTACTTTACACGCTTTGGAGGTGTCAATTACACTTTGAATGTTTGGAGTTCTGATATGTACTTTTGAACTCTATCTGATCAGAAATAGCCCCATTTACTGCTTCACATTAGACTTCAAATGGCACTCAATTAGAATTGGCAGGAAGAGCAGGAGCATCAAAACATGGAATCATCTATAGGTTTCTCTTCATAGGAGGCTGAGGGGTGACGTTCCAGAAGTTTATAAAATCATGAGGGGCATAGATAAGGTGAATGGCAAAGGTCTTTTCCCCAGAGTAGGGGAGTCCAAAACTAATAGGCATAAGTTTAAGTTGAGAAGGGAAAAATTTAAAAGGGGCCTGAGGGGCAACTTTTTCACAAAGAGAATGGTGCATGTATGGAATGAGCTGCCAGATGAAATGGTAGAGGCAGGTACAATTACAACATTTAAAAGGCATTTGAACAGGTACATGGATAAGAAAGTATTAGGGAGATATGGGCCAAACACAGGAAAATGGGACTAGTTCAGTTTAGGAAACCTGGTCAATATGGACGAGTTGGGCCGAAGGGCTTGTTTTCGTGCTGTATGGCTCTATGACTCTATGAACTGCAGGTCTGCTGGAAAAATGAGCTCAATAAAGAGGTGAATTTCACATCAACCATACGTGACACACAGAATTTGTAGATTGAAGATGAGCTTCTTTGACATATTTGAACATCAGTAATTCAGGATGCTGGAGGTGGCGACAAATGTTTGCAGTCTGTCGAAACATGACTTTCCACTTGCTGGGCCTGAGGACCATGATTAATTGATGGCTGTCAAAAGTATCGATGCTTCAACATTTCTGTCTCTGGATTTTCTCAGACTACGTCCAGAAGCATTTGCAAGATCTCTGAGTTGGAAGCACACAAACAGCTAAAGCAGAGTGCTAATAGCTTGTTTGCCAGCAAAGACAATCATGTAAACTTTTCCTGGCTTTGATAATGCCAGTTAGAATGAGTGGGTGCTCAGGTTGTTAGGCCCAACTGGTTCCCCACAGGTACTGGGTGTTATTGATTGCATACGTGTGGCACTAAAGATACCCAGAAATCACCCAGGGGTGATTATCAACAGTAAAGGCTCCAATTCTATTAATGTGCATCTGGTATGCAACACTGAAAGAATGTTTATGGGTGTGCATGTTGGTGTGCATAGGATTCCCAAGCAGCTTTCATGCAGATTTTGCTTTGCAGTAGACAACCCTCTCTGGGTTCCTTAGGAACCCTGGAACCAGAGTTATCAACTGGCTACTTGGAAACAATAAAACCCAACTGATATTATCTCTCAGAAACTAAAGGAGTGACATCCAAGAGGATTACAATCATTGCCTTACCACCGCTAGATGTGTCATCAAACAAGCAGTCAGGCTCCTTAAGGTGCACTTCAGGTGTTTATACAAATGTGGAGTCATCCTTCAGTCTACATCAGCCAAGGCACCAATAATGTTTGTAACATGCTGAAATCTAAATATTCTATCTCCCCAGAGGTTGAAGAGGGGTTCTGGAATATATTGAGCACTTTCCATACCTAGGCAGACACCGCTTTCGAAGGACTACCATTGATGACGAAATCTAATACCGGATCAACAGTGCTAGCTTAGCCTTCTAAAGCCTTCTTAGCCCACTAGTAGTGGGTGTTTGACAATAAAGACCTCTGCAAGTCGACAAAGATCTTGGTGTATAGAGCAGGGGTCATGAAGTTACTCTTGCACTGTAGTGGGACCTACGTAGATAAAGTGTGTGTACCTCAAGTTAAGTTTGCGAGTTTTAAAACTTTTACTTTGTGTTCATGACTTGTGGCAATCAAAACCATGGCCAATACTTATTACCCATCATTAATTGCTTTTGAGAAGGTGGTAGTGAACACCCTTCTTATACTATTGAAATCTTTATCATCTACACACATCCATTATGCTGTTAGTCAGTGAGTCGCAGGATTTTGGGTCATTGACAGTGAATAAACAGCAATATATTTCTAAGGCAGGATGTGTATTAGCTGAAGGGGATCTTGCAGGTAGTGGGGCTCCCATGAGTTCAAAGTTCCATTCTTTCTTCAGTGAAAAACACAAACGAAAATGGCCTTAACTGTCATATATTGAATAGAGGTAGCAGGAACTGCAGATGCTGGAGAATCTGAGATAACAAGGTGCAGAGCTGGATGAACACAGGAGGCCAAGCAGCATCAGAGGAGTAGGAAGGCTGACGTTTCGGGCCTAGACCCTTCTGGTTTTTTTTTCACCATTATATTTCAGTTCTAACTCTGCATGTGATCAAATCAAAACTATTGGCATCATTATTGAGCACCTTGCTGCAGAATAATTTTCTTTGCTTCAATCAGAATTATTTTGGGGGTGAAACACCAATTTTTCTATAAATGATTTTTACAATCCCCTACTTCATGTAAATATGAAAACACACTTGTCAATTTTTCAGTTTAGATGCTGTGAGTATTTTTATTGACTCAGTAGTTCACAAAAAAAATTTAGCTTGCCTCAACTGCTCTTCCTTCCTTTAATCTCTTTTGTCACAGCGAAACTTTCTCAAATGTGATAAATGTTCCTGAAAAGCTGGTTGATGAAGTACAGTTGCACCAAGGAGAACACTAAACTGTAAAAAGAAAATTATCATTTAAAGTACAAATGCTTCATTCATTAATTACACATCACACTCATTGCATTCCAATGAAGTTCAATACTGATGAGATGTGTTTTACTCCGTTTGTAAAATGCTTTTTTACACTGCTAATGTAAACTATTTTCTGCTCAACATAAACATTGTCAAATCAAAGAGTCAAATGTAAGTCTGTTGAACTCACACCTCTCAGTGCAGATGGGGGATTAGTAAAACATCATTTAACATTCCAGACACTTGTTTATTTGACTACAGGACGGCGATTAAGTTCAAGTACAAGAGCTGGTCATTAGCTGTAATGGTTGGACGTGTAAATGGTGTATCTAATTTCATCGTGGGAATTTGATACCAGCAAATCAAATTACCAGTTCTAAGAAAAACACAAGACTGCTAAAGCGGCATTACAAAACAGCTAAAACAAAGAGAAAGGAATGTTCTTGATGTGAATACAGAAACCCTTTTGGGAAAGAGGAAGTTTTATTCAACTTTAGTGTTTTTTTGCACATAGACACTATTCATGCAAAATTCTATTAAATCTTTCATCTCTCAGTGCTATCGCCAGACTTCCTCAGAAACCTGAGTCACCTTTAAGTGGCTCATACATTTACCATAACATCTTCTCTCAATGCAAGAGCTCAAGGGTAATGGAATTTCCTCAGCATTTTCATCAGCATTACTACAACCTCTTGATCTTTATCAAGTCTGCTTTGTTCCTCAGTAGAAGGTACAAATCACTTGCAGTGTGAAAGTTGTGCCTTAAAATTCAATTTGATCTAAATCCATTTAATGTAATTTGTATGTTAGACTGTATAATTTCTGATACATTTCCAGTACACTTACAGCCACAAAAGTAAGTTATGAGAATATGTGGAGAGTTTTTATTTCAAACAGAATTTAATTTAAATGTATATTATTTCCAATTGAATGGACAAAATTGTACAGTTATTACAAATGCTGTGGTGAGAGAAAATTCCTGGGATGGTACAACTGATGCAAACCATCCACTGGGGCTTGTGTGTCAAGGGAAAACTAAGGTCTGGATCTTTTTATGGAACACATAATAAAAATAAATCAAGCTTATACATGGAGACATCTGCTTTCAGTTCTACATTTTGAAAGCTTACTTATGACCTGATGACATCACAGATCTCGCTTACAGTGGAGGCCTGGTAGTTGGGGGTCGGGGGGCGGTGTCCTCAGACGGTACACCTTGTTTATGGTGAGCTTTATATAGCTGGTAAATATGCTGCAATTTGCAATATGATGCAGATATTCATTGGGATAAATGGGCTATAATAAATTTAAAAAACCTATTTGTTAATATTAGCAAGAAAGTAGATATGAATCAAAAGGAATGTCATTTTGTTAGAATGTGCTAAAACCCATGTTCAGCTCTGATTTTAGAATCTCCACATCTCCAAAAATTATTAACAAATATAATTGGAAATGTTAAAAACAATGTCAATCTTTGTAACAATGGTGTGGAGGTGCTGGTGTTGGACTGGGGTGGACAAAGTCAGAAGGCACACGACACCAGGTTGTAGTCCAACAGATTTATTTGAAATCACAAGCTTTTGGAGCGTAGCCCCTTCTCTTAGGCAGAAAGATCAAGGGCAAAGAGATCAAAAAATCATACAAATGATGTGAAAGAAGTGTCGAAAAATAAGTCTGTGCAGGTGATCAAAAGTGTCAGACAGTGTGAGTAAAGTGTCAACAGCTGAATAACAAGCAAGAAAATGGTTCAGCATGTTCAAGAATGAGATGGAAGAAGCTACTGAGTACTGATGGGTAAGTGGAAAAAATAATGAAGGGCCAAAACAATTTAGCCCATACTTACAACTTCTGGGACATAATGGCTCAAGGAACAACAACTGAAAGTAAAACAGAGTGAGTGTGGACCAGGCAGTAAATAAGTGCTGGAGAATAGAAGGATATATGCAGGGAGTTCATAAGATATTCAGACAGCAAGAGTTAAGGCCATAAAAGCACTTGTAAACAAGATAACATTGAATTTGAGTTGCTGTGGGACAGAGTCAGTGGGAGCTTGACAAGGACAAGGTTAATGAAAATATGTCATCTCCTTTACATATGGACACTTGCATCATAACTTGGAAATATTTAGATTTTATGAAAGCATTGGAGAGCACATGAGAGGGGAGAGATGCCCTCAACTTAAAAATTCACCTGAAAGATAGCAGCTCTGACAGTAAAAGAACTCCACTGCTAATGCACTGAAATGTCTGTTTAGATGATGTGCCTAAGTCTGTAGAGTGGAACTTGGATACATGATTTTTCCTGAGTAGATGGAAAGAGGATTTGAAGGAAAGAGAAGGAAACCGATTGTGTTCTGCAGGTCTGTACAGTGGGACATGGTCCCACGATTATCTGACTCAGAGAAGAAAATTTACCAGATAAGCTCATGTTGACAGTTAAACACAGTTTGATTTTGAACCTGACACTGAAAAAGACACACCATTTGATCAACTGAACGCAGACTAATAGTGGAAATGATAATAGAAAAATTTAAAAATCAGCACGATGTCATCAGGTTTGTAATTATTCAGTTGCAGTAAACATAGGTGGATAGATTCACAGCATATAATAGTGGAATAAGGATTCTTGTGGCACAGTGGTAGTGCCCCTACCTCTGGGCCAGGAGACTTGGGTTCAAGTCTCACCTGCTCCAGAGGTGTAATAAAATTTCTGAACCAGTTGATTAGAGGTACCTGTACAGCAATACTGGGACTGTTTTGAAGGCAATGCTGGTGTTAAAGTTACTGAAGTTAATCTTATCAGCAAACATCTCAGGTTGGGTCATGCTGGTAGGAATGATTTCACTGAGGGATAACACATACAGAAAAAAATTATGATGGCTTGATCAAGAGATTTATGACAAATTACAGATGGCACAATAACAGAATTGAAGTGACTGTTCAGGGAATTGAAGTGACTGTTTCAGAAAAATTGGAATGGAAACATGGGAGGGTTGGCATTACAATGCTCCTTGCAGGAGAACAACGAAGCAGAACTGAATGGTCAGGTTCCTGAAAGTGTGCGAAAAGCGGAGAGTGAGATGAAGTGTGTTTGCTTTCTTTTCATTAAATTTGTTTGAATTAGCTTTACTGTCGCATACTCACGTGAGTACAGTGAGAAGTTTATAAGTTGTCACTTACAGCGCATCTTAGGTACAAAGATACCTATGTACAGCATCTTCAGTTAAAGAATAGTTACAGTGCAACAATGTCACCAACACACAGCACCATCTTAGGTACAGGGTACCTAGGTACAATCCTTAGTTACAGAATAGAGAAATGAAGAAGATAAGTTACATGGCAGTTATACACAGTATAACCATAGTTAAAAAAAACAAGAAGCAAAGTTAAAAAAAAAACATCACAGTCTCTCTTCAGACCAGTGCAGGGGCCTCAACTTGGTCTGAACGCTGGATGCCTTCATGCTCACACACCGGGCCACTGCCCCCATTCTGCTTCGGGCACGCTAGTCACTGGATCCCTGCTCTGGGCCACCAAAGAAAAACCACAGAAGAGAGAAATAAAAGGAAAAATCTTAATTCTATTGGAATGGAACACATTAGAGACTGTATTTTCTGAGTGATTAATTCTACTTTTGACCTCCTTCAAAACGTCTCTAGGCGCAAAGCACAAGGCAGGAATATGATGAAATCTTCTCCATTTGCTTGGATAGGTGCAGCTAACGTAGCACTGAAGAAGGCACACGTTAGTCAGCACACTGCAGTTTTCTTGATTAGGATCTGATCAGCCACCTCAAACAAACACTCCCTCCACTAATGACCCATTGGGTTGCAGGTCATTGCTTCCCTTTAAAGGAGTGTTTTTGGTAGTTGGGTAACATAACATATAACTAGTGGATTTTACAGGACTAAAAGCTGGTAGTAGGTGGAGCAACCATTCAGGATCTTAACATCTGCCCCACATCAATTTAATGCTGGAAGCAGTATTAACAGCTTTAATGTGAGATTTCTGCCCTTTTTGGAGAGGATTTGCTGCCTTACAAAAGTGCCAGCCAGACAAGTAGCCTATCATTGTGTCTTTGACAAATTTTGTAATTTGAATGATCCCATCATCTATTTCATTAATAAATACTGTAAGTAGTTGAGCCTTCAAAGTAGATCCCTATAGGATGCCACAAGACACAGCTTACCTTTCTGTTTTCTCTATGTCTAGCTTCTCAGGCAATCTATGATACATAAATTCAGTGAATTAGATCATAGAATCCCTACAGTGTAGAAACAGGCCCTTTGGCCCAACAAGTCCACACAGAACATCAGCACACCCACCCAGACCCATCCCCCTGAACACTACAGGCAATTTAACATGGCCAATCCTCCTAACCTGCACATCTTTGGACTTGGGGAGGAAACTGGAGCACCAGGAGGAAACCCATGCAGACGCAGGGAGAATGACAGCTGCCTGAGGCTGGAATTGAACCTGGGTCCACTGGTGTTGTGAGGCAGCAGTGCTAACCACTGTGCCACCCCTTAAATGAGACTTTCCAAGGCTTGTCACTCCCTTCACCAGGAAGAAGACTACACCTAGATTTGAACTCAGATCACAGGGTTCAGAAACCAGCCCGCTCACCATTACACCATGGCAACCAGAGCCAAATTGTTATTGTCATAGCCATGGTCACAGAGACCTACAGCATAGAAAAAAAAGCCTTTTGGCCCATCAATTCTGAGCCAGTCAAAAACAACCACTTAAATATTATAGACAACACGAGGAGCTCGAACAGTTCATCCACTTCACTAACACCTTCCACCCCAACCTTAAGTTTACCTGGACCATCTCTAACACCTCTCTCCCCTTCCTGGACCTCTCTGTCTCCATATCGGGCAACCACCTAGAAACCGATATTCATTTCAAGCCCACCGACTCCCACAGCTACCTAGAATACTCCTCCTCCCACCCACCTTCCTGCAAAAATGCTATCCCCTA